TTTACTTCGACTTGCAACCAACTCGACTTGCAATCAGTCACGGAACGGATTAAGTTCGTAAGTAGAAGTACCACTGTAACTGTGCCAATGAAAGTAGTTTGAACAGTATAAAGAACTGCTGCAACGCTGGGGGCTGAAAAAGGAAAATTGTATTATTTGACTTTGTAAGCTAAAATCCATGGCAAATGTTTCCCCACAGAAGTCTACCTGTAAATGGCCTTCTCCTAATATATTTCACATTTACATTGTATAATAGACATTAGTATATGCCTTAAAAAAAGTTGTACTTCTTAAAACATGTATAATGATCTAAAATATTATGACATATCCTAATATTACAGGGCTGTATTTGCAGTCATTTTTTTAATTTTTATTCTTATGAAAGGAAATTTTATGTCTGAATTCATGTCATGGGATGCAAGTAACTCCAATTAAAACATTTTTTTAATGAACATCTTTCTAGGTAGTAATTGTCTTTAACTGCATTGACTCTCTTTACAAATTTAATACTGAAAAAATGTAGGCTTTTCCGCTTGCCAGCCAGAAACAAGTCTGTCATTCAAGTTATGATGTCTAAAGCCTTTCTAAATATAAGCTCCCATTCCTGGTTTTGGGTGTGATTGCTTTTCAGAAAGAATGTTTTCTTTGGGAATGAAATATCAGAGCTGTGGGATTACAATAAATTGGCACACAAGCTTAAATTTGAAGATGTAACATAATATTAATAAAATGTCTGGGCAAATTCTCTTTTACTCTTTTAATATTTATTTACTGTTGAACATGATGTAGAGCTCCTTGGGCTGAAATTTAATGGGCATAAGAGAGAATACAGTTGCCTTTACTCACTTACTCTTCATACCAAACACTTGATAGTCAGTCAGTCTGTTCTAGTTCAATGGCATTTTTGAAAAATATGCCTTTGAATCATACTGACCTTCTTGTTTTTCCATTAACAATTAAGCAAAGGATCTTAATTCCTTTGCTTTTTTCCAAATAGTGTTGCATAAGTATTTCTTAAACAAAACCAACAATACAACGGGTTGGAAAGTCCTCCAAACTAGATTGCAATTGCAAGCGTGTTCCACCTGAAGGGACACAGGTCACCTAGAAGGAAGCAACTGCCATCAATCTCTAGCAGCAATGAATAAAGAAGAATGGTGAGCATTTCAATGTGAAATGTCAAGCTTTTATCTCACATACATGCTACAATAAGCGAAGTGATTCAATCCTAAATGTGGGGTAATGTTCTCTTTCTTTATAACTCTCAACCTTTCTAGGTTCAGTGACACCGCACCATAGAAGCTGGGTAGGGTATGGCTATTTATGTGGCTCAAAACTGAGCTAACAACATTTCGGAATCATACAGTAAAAGCCAGGTGAAACCCTCCATCAATATTCTATGTGTCCAGCACTGGGCCAGCCACTCAGCAGAATAAAAGCAGGTATCTCAGATATTCAAGGACATGCAACAGAGTCAAATTGCCAGTTTGATCAGCTTCCTTTGATAGAATGGGATGGATGTCCTCTTGCTTCCCCTTGTCAGCAATCTTATTTATGTATTCCATATGTGAAGAAAGTTGGGATCCCATCCACCGATCCCACTTTCTTTCACTACATGACTGCCACAGTTGCCAATGAATATGTGTATACACAACCCAATATGTATGATCTCTAAGATGCAATCCATAATTTTCCAGAGTGTTTTAGAATACTACATACACTCTCTTGAACACATTAGAGGAAAGGCAGGATATAACTGTAACAAATAATAAATTCCAAATTCGTGCATTTGGATATGCATTGTGATATAAAACATGCATTCCTATGAAAGTGAAGAGGTGATCTTCAACATACAGAACCAGGATTTCCTGGAATAACAGTAGTCAGATTTGTTCTACATACTTTTAGTAGGGATTCTCTGGGTTTAGGGAGATGAATACCAAAGTAGAGATCATGTTTTTTGCAGATGTTTCAGCCCGATTCCAGTGAAGCTTCCTCAGAGGTGGGAATTGCTTTGCAGCATTTATAGTCTGTGTGGAATTTGAATAGAAGCTTCTGGGAAAGAATCAGTTGACTGGTGGTTGGAAATGGTGCCAGCTCCGTTATGCAACACCTAGAAAACTTTGCCCTTCCTAAAATCTAACCCCAAACACAAATAAGTTATGTCAATTATATATTTTCCATCCTAAAAGAAAGCCAAATAGAAAGCATTTTTCAGACACCGAATTCCACATGCCCAGGGATCATATTCACCATACAGATGTAGAAAGAGAACAAATGTTCATTTCTAGACATCTTCATCATTAAACTAAATGATGGCAGGCTGAAAACTCAACTTTACCGAAAACCCACCCACACAGACTGAATCTTAAACTTTCACAGCAACCAATGCACAACATATAAGACGAGTTGCATAAAAACCTTCCTCAATAGAGCAAAAACACACTGCAGCTTACCAGCACTCATAAAAGCAGAATTCAACTACCTCCATAGCATATTCAGTAAGAACAAGTCTCCACTCCCAACAATTCATCAAAAACGCATTAGGAAACAAAACAAACACAGAACTAAAAGACATTCCAAGCATCACCATAACAACACTTCCATAAATAAGAAATGTATAAGAGCACACCAGATTATTTGAGCCACCAGGCATCATTGTGGTCCACAACCCCCTGAAAAACTCTACAAAAAATTCTGTATAACCCAAAAACTACAATGCCATCATGAAATGCCACCATTACATACAAGATCAACTGTCTGGGTTGCAGCCAGCACTACGTAGGACAGGCAGGGCACCAGTTACACCAAAGAATCAAAGAACACATCACCAAGCAACTGATAATTCCCAGGAAGTCTCCAATCAACAACCAATCCCACAAAACGAAAAAAGTGACTTCAAGATTGAACACTTCTACTTCAATATTGATCTCTTTAAACCTGGAGAGCCCCAACTAAAATTATGTAAAGAGAATCAGGTATACTGTGGGGCCTACCCTTTATCTTTGCTAAAAGCTACTTACACTCAGCATCTGCGTAGGGCTCAAACAGAAGGGTGGCTAGAGAGATGAACATTTTTCTTGAGAAAATTCCAGCTATAATTTCCAGTAGAGAAAAGTAATGAGTTCAGTGATTACACACAGAGGAATTAGGAAATAATAATAACAACAACAATATGAGGAAATGGATTTGCATATTCAGTCATTTCAGCTAACCTAGGATTCTGATGGAGCAATATGTGCTAATCATCATAAGCCAATCTATTCCAAATGGAATGAAAGCCTTTCCCTGGGCTCTCCAAATTTAGTGGACTCTTCTCCAGCTTCAGATGGGAAATGATGTCCAACCCAACTGGAAGACACTCAATTAGAGTAGTTTGGCTGCGAATTCATCAGGCACACGTAGCATTCACATATTATATGCATCCATAATATCATAGAAACACATAATGGAGCATCACCAGTCTTAATGCTATCAATTCTTTACACATGCTTTATATTTGCATTCTTTGCATTATAGGATTTGCAGATAGTCACACTGACAAGCTTTCAACCTTCACTTTTATACAAGAGCAGGCAATCTTTGGGCTTCACACAGAGGCTAAATCCCATTTCTGTAGCATCCTGAGCCCATCGCCATCCCTCAAGAAGATTGTGCCACCAAACTTTAGGGGCCAATAGCTTAATTTGTGGTGTCTCTCTCTTCAGTATTAGACAGAAAGGAGTGGAGGAGGGGGTTATATATAATTTTGTTCATACTTAGTTTTGTTTTTGCTTTTCTCTTCAACTTTATTTTGTTATTGAGAGATTAGACTTTTTTCACTATGCACTATTTAAAAGCAAAGACTAGTTTATTTTTGCCTTTAAATTGTGGACTTTGCCTTTCAGTGTTTCCTGCAGAGGCTCCAAATGGGTCAAAAACTTTAGCCCTACACTCTTTAGTGACATTATTGTATCACTGTAGCAACCTATATGGCCTTCAATGGCAAATATCTTTGGCCCTGCCCCCCAAAATGCCATTTCTCCATGCTTTATTATTATAACACAGCCAGTCAATCATGATATGAGTACTTTCAGTGTTTTGTAGAGAAAATAAAGACATGTACATGTGCGTTTAGGACTCAAAGCAACCCTCAAAAGAGTGCAAGCAGAGTAAAACCCATTTTAAGTATATTTAAAAGAGAAGCAAGATAAAACAGCCAAAACCTGATCAGCTGGGAAGGCAGAACTTTCAAAATATGCTAGATTAGAACTTTATCCCAAAGTAATCCCTGATTTCACACTGAGCAAAATCAAATACTAAATGACTCAGTCAAGATAGAGCCTTCCCAAACTCCATGTGAATGAGTTAATTGTATATACGTGCCTGTGCATGATTAATGTTGTTCTTTAGCTTAGTCAGCTCAACATGGGAGTGGAATTTGTGAATGAAGTCTGAGAAAGTTTCATAGGTAAGAATTGCTTCTTCATGAAGCAATTCTTCTGTCTAACTGAAAGGGAATAGAAGATGGAAAATTAGGCTTGATCATTGTGCAAAATATTGTCTTAGATTTCATCATTGGGGTGCAGGGTCTTAGATATCTTTTAAAAATTATTTTAAAAATAAATTTTAGATTTTATTTTAAAAAGCATCAACAAATATTTAAAAAGAACAAGAACAAGCACACAAATGAAACACAGAAGCAATCCTGATGTTATATATGCTCATTTAGCATAGTTTCAGGGATTTCAGGGATTTCAGAAATCAAATGGAATGCATTAAATGGACTCCTCAGGGTCCTTTGAGCCTACAGACTACTCCTGGAGTTGACAAAGCCATAGTTTGGGCTTAGTTTTGGGATGATATTAGAAGAGTTTTAAGGAATAAACTAGTGCCTTAAGCATAAAAATCATTCCTGAAACCTACAAATTGGACCAATTTTGTTCACATAGGGGAATTTATGGGATCAGATGATGTTTCCTTAAAGTTTCCTTGAACTTCCACAAATCCAAGAAGCGAGCAGAGGCTGTGAACCACAGCTAATGTGGTTAAGATTTTGACTAAGATTGGAGAAATGAGGTTTAAGTCTACTTTCAGACATGGAAGCTCACTGGGTGTTTTTGGACCAGTCAATTTTTTTCAGCCCACTATACCCTATAGAGGTGTTATAAGGGAAAAAATGGAGGACAGAGTTCCACATATACTCAAAAGTCCCTAGCCATTGTCAAATAAATCAAGAAGCTTTAACATCACCAGCAATATTATATACACCCTTAGTTACCAGGAACTGAGCTTGACTTGAAAGACATATGACCTTGATACAGGTATTTACGCACATTAATATAATATTACATGTACAAAGAGTAGGTCGGTGAGCTGTATTTCCCTTGTCTGGAAATCCTGCCTAGGTTACTGGGATGATATTGGCACTTGTCATCCACAGATAACAACTGGAACCCCTTCAAGGCCTATCAGTGAAATACAACTTTCCCCCCTCCCTCCCATTGTTAAAATAATGTTTCACTCCACCTCTCCAAGAACACTGGGTAGCCTGATCTAGCTCCCCTGTTAATTTCCCACAATGCCTCTGATATAAATTCATTCATGGTCATGTTACAAAGCAGTGTTCTCTAATGAAAGGCAGTGTTCCCCAGAAGGCATTTAATCATCTCCCCCCTTCCTTCACACCTATAACCCCTAGTTCCAATACTCTACAAGATTCTCCTCTCTTCATTAACATTCCAACAGCAGCTGGTTCTCTTTCTGAATCATGGTTTGAGTCATAGTGAGGAAGAGAGCAGGGATGGAAGTTAGATACTGACCTGGGAGTAGGAATTTAGAAACACAATATCCATAATAAAACAAACTGATCAAAACCTTTCAATTCATAAGCACAAATATGAATTCTTATGTTTCCAATCGCAAGAACTAACACCACTGCTCTCTCTTTTGTCTAAAAACCAAGACTCTGCTACCCCCTTAAAAAGAATCCCCACTGGAAACATTGTAACAAGTTTAAGCAAGTTTTGTGAAAATAAATTATTGCCTGACAGGTTACAGCTTGCTTCTGGCTTTTAATCATTCATTCATTCATTCATTCATTCATTCATTCATTCATTCATTCTAAATTTTAAGGATGGATGCTGCAAAGAAAAATTTTGTACAATTTTTCAAAATAGATTAGTA